AGGTCCTGGTCCCTCGCAGGGCGGGGAGGGTGCCCAGCGGCCTGGAGAGTCAGTCTGGGGCTGCTGAGAGTGTGACTTGTGGGAAAGGAGCAAATGATGGGCGTCCAGGGCAGCTACCTGGACTGGCCGGTTTACTTTGTATAGCCCAGAATGGAGGCAGTTGGGACGAAACACAATGTGAGCTCGACGTCCTCAAGCAGCGCCTGTGATCACGGGCCTCTGCTTTGCCCAGCAGCGCACAGGCTCCACTTTGCACCTTCCAGATCATTCCTTGTTCCCACTGAACAGATAAGGAGACACTCAGAGAGTGAAATGACTGGCCTGGGGTCGTACACAGGTTCTCCTGCATCCCCCTCCAGGGGGTCCTCCCTCAGACCCGTCATAATGCCCCCATCCCCGGCCCTGCGGGATGTGGCCCGACTTCCCCTCAGACCCTCCCCCTCCTCCCTCCATGCACCTGCCGTCCAGTTGTTGGGCACTTGAACATACCAAGCCCTTCCCACCTCAGCGTTTTCACAGCGTTTCTCTCTGCCTGGAGCACAGCTTTCCCAACCCTGCTCACCCTTCCTCCGGTGCTTTCCTAAATCCCCTGGCCCAGCGAGGCTGGTGTGGGCCCACAGGGTGAACGCCTGTCCTCCGTGATTGGCGCGACTCCTGTGATCGGGTCGCGGCGGAAGCCCGTTGCCTAGCGCTGCTGCAAATCACATTGTCCTGGAATGAACATCACAAGTTCATTTATTGGCACTCCGAGAATTTTCACTAATGGGAAAAAAAAAAAGAAAGTGAATTTAAGATTAAAAAGTGAAAAGTGCTGTATTTTGAAGCAGGAACGTTACACGCTTGGAAAAGAGTTGATTTCCGTGTCTGATTTAGTATCACCCTGGCTCTGAAGGTAACAGTCATGTTGTCTGTGAGTCTTGGCTTCAGAAGGATCCACCGTCTTCTGGCTAGTCTAGGAGATGCCTCTGCAACTCAAGTGCACTCAGGACCTGGGCCCTTGGTCCCCATCGGGTATCTGTCACGGGGGCAGGTGCATCCGGGAACACTGACACAAGCCCCCTGGGTGGCCGGAGGGGAGGATGTTCTCGTGTCAGTCCCTGTCACCAGAGCCGCCTGAGCCCCGTGGAGCAGGGCCGCTCCTTGGCCTATCAGAGCTGTCAGCTGTGGCACCTGCCGCCTGTCACTCATGCGTGCTCCCCGCCCGCCTGCAGGATGTGGCCTGGCCTGGACATCTGTCTTCTATCAGGCACACACAGCAGGAAAGCTGACGTCTGTGCGTGCACACGCGTGTGCACTGCAGGAGCACGGTTCCATGTGCCTGCACCCGTCCAGGGACCTCCCCCCACCGCCCCCCACCCCCGACTTCCTGCAACCTGTGCTGTGCGGGAACCCGCACAAGGTCGGCAGCTGCGGTTCCGTCCATTGCAGACCCCACTGTTTGATGCTCAGTTGCCCCATCCCTGGTGACAGGAGTCTGATCGTACCAGCCTTCCTTTGGAGGAGGGAGCAGGGGGGGCATCCTTTATGGCTCCGTGCAGAGGGTGTGCTGGTGGCGGGCACAGCAGAGCTGGGTGGTGTGTCCTGCGGGCACCCGAGTGGATGCGGGTGGAAAGGAGCTGAGGGGGACAGAGGGGGTGCCAGGACCGTAGCCATGTGTGCAGTCTGAGTCCACGTTCACATGATGTGTGAGGGAGGGGAGGGAACGGGCTTGGAGTCTGAGCGACTCACCTGACATTGAAATGCCTGTCCTGTCCCTGAGTCAGAATCTGGCACCATCCTAAACTTGTCCCTTCTGCCCACGGGTCACTTCAGCAGTCCACATTTATCAGCACTTTGCCTTCTGACGGCCTCCCTGCTCTCATTTTCCCCAGTCCGGGCCCTGGTCGTTCCTCCAGGGACCAGGAGCAAAGCTTCCATGGGGCACTGGGTTCCCGGTGGTGCCCAGTCCCGCAGCCCCTCACAGATTGAGGGTCTCTCTGCCTGTGTCAGTCTTCTGCCCTCAGCCCCACAGGTCACTGCCCTCCTCTATGCCACCTCCCCTAGGAAGCCCTCGGGCTGGGTTGGCTCCTTCCTCGGGGCTCCGGCTATCACTGAATGAGTGCCCTGTGTGGTGATGACGGGTGTATGTCTGTGACCCTGCTCGGCTGTGAGCTTCTGGGGACAGTGCCAGGTCTTCCTCACCTCTGTGCCCTCATCACCCGGCACAGGTTCTTGCCCGTGGGAGGTACTTCCCAAGCGCTGGCACATAGAAGTCACTCCGAGTGAAAGGATGAGCTTTTCTTACGGGAGGGCCGAGGGGCTGCTGGAGAGACCAGCTGGGGTGCCTGCGAGATCCCTGGAGGAGGAGCCGTGGGGTGGAAGGCCTCTGAGATGATGCTGGCCGCCCCTCTCTCTTCACTCCCTTTCCCCCCATCCGTCTGTCTGTCTGTCCATCCTTGCGCCACCCCTCCATCCATCTGTTCTTTCGTCTAATGTTTATTGAGTGTCTGCTCTGGACCAGGCACACTACTGAGTCCCCAGAATTTGGGGCTAACCAGGACAGGACCCTGGGGCTTTCAGCCATCAAAGCTCCATGTTTCTTCTTCTTCTTTGTCTCCCCTGGAGACGGGTCGGGGGTAGTCGGGGAGACGGAGGATGGCCCAGGAGGAACGGGCTGGGGTTCAGATGGTGCCTGACTGAGCAGCCCCATGGGCTGTAGAGTCGCTTTATTTCAGTTCGAGACACAGAAGATAAAAAATGTCTCCAGGGAGAAAAACAGGAACATTCATCGGATTTGAGAGGAAAACTCACATAGCAGGAAAGCCAGGCCTAATTTGTGCTCTCCGAGCCAGAAGTAGGTGCAAGAAGGGAAATCGTTGAAATCTCTTGCCTGGCTCCTCCAGAGATAATTAATCACGTCTGTCCGTTCACTTCCTTTGTTCTTCAGACCCTCCCTTCTGTCTGTGCTGCCTCTGATTTCTGGTCGGTGGGAAGCCCCCAGCCCCTGCCCCAGGGGGCCAGTCTGCTGGGGAGGATGTGTGTGTGCCTTCCCCACGGGTGGTTTCAGAGCTGCCGGTTCCGGTTCCGAGCAGGGTGGACCTGCGGACGTTGGCTGCGAGCTCCCTGCTGGGGGCTCCCCGCCCTTCACTGCGGCAGCCCCTGCCGGGTGCAGAGGCACAGCCAGGCAAAGGGCGGCTGCGACGGGTAATTGAGGGGCAGCCGTGGGACGGAGCCCGCAGACCCCTGGCTGGTCCAGTGGCTCCCAAACACGGCGGTCATCAGAGCCCACAGGGACACAAGCGGCTCCCGGCGCCTGCCGCTGGGGTTCTCATTCAGCGGGTCTCGGCTGGCTGTGGCCATCTCCAGCTGGCCTGCCCCGAAGGCCAGGGCCTCGTCAGTACCCGCTTACTAGGGGTCATTAGAGCGGCGCTGGCTCTGCCTGGTCTGTGAGGCAGAAGGGGAAGACATCCCAGGAAAAGCAGGACACCCTGACTCCTTAAGACGTGTGAGGAAGCGCAGATGAAGTTTCTGGAGGAGCCCAGGCTCCCTTCACCTTGCCCAGCACCACAGGCAGGGCCTGGGGATGACACCACAGCGGAGGTGTGGCCCTGGTGGCCTGTGGCCTGAGCCCATCTGGCTTGTGCCCGAGATGGAGAAAAGTGCAGGGACTGGGGTGCGGCCACTGAGTCCCTGGCCCTGCCTGCCGTGTGGCCTTGAGCAGACACCCAGCTTCTTGAACCACCGTTTCCTCGTCTGCTGAGAGAGATCTTCCCGCTGGGGCCTCGGCCCTGATTGCCGAGGAGTGTTGGTCCCGCGGCCTTCCAGCAGGTGCAGCCTCACCTTTCCTAGCTTCTCCCCACCTCCACCGGGAGACTGAAATTCTAGCAGACATCTAAATCCAGACCGTGGGAACAGCCACCTCTGAGCGCCCTGGCCTCCTACGCCCAGGGCCGCCCTGCTGCTGTTTCTCTGCTGCTGGTTAATCTGTGCGTTCTTTACGGTGGTATCAGCGCAGTTTGACTGCACAGTATCGCCCGCATGAGCTCAGCTGGTGACCTCGGTCCAGTGGAACGGCCCTCCAGGCAGACAGGCGCACGGAAACCCCACTTCCGGTTAGAAGCTTATTTCTGTTGTTTGCAGGAACCTTAAAATGGCTAATTTAGGCACCACCAGCAGGGGTTGGATCACCTTGTTAAAATAAAACCAAGTTTGTTTACTTCCTGGCGCTATACCTTCCAGTGACGTGTGTAGATCTGCAGTCTTCAGCTCCCTGAAGGCTGACATGTCCGCTGTGTAACCACCACCCGGATCGGGAAATAAAGCCCTCCCGGGGCCCGAAGCTTCCCCGAGTCCCCTCCTGGTTTCCCGCAGCAGTGTCTGGCCCAAAGCAGGACCTTGGCCAGTCGATGAATGAGATGCAAAGGTACCCGAGGGGTGCAGAGGTGACTGGGGCTCTGAGTAGCCAGAGGGGTTTCCCGAAGGAGGTGATGCTGGCTCAGTGGGACTGAAGTGTTTTCTGGAACGACGGAGGTTAGACCGCTCAAGGGAAGGGGGGATGTGTGGGTGGAAACAAGGGAGCACTGACCAAGGCTGCCTTCTGTTCTCCCCTGGGTCCAGGCCCTGAGGTGTGCGGCCTCACGTGCGTCCATCCCTGTGTCCGAGTGGCTGTCGGTGGCTCTGTGATGAGCCTGGCCCCCGGGGTGCTGAGGTGGTGTGGCCTCGCAGCTCCGGAAGGAGGGCACGGCCTGTGGCCTGTGGCCTGTCCTGCTGGCCCTTCAGGGCTGGAGTCGTCTGCAGTCAGTTGTGTAGTCCGGACAGCCTCCTGCCTGCCACACACCCCACAGCGGCCGTTCCCTGGGCGCAGGACTGGGCCGCTTCTGTAGCGGCGCGTCCCCAGCTCACTGTCGCTCCTTGGAAAGCTCCTGCGCGACACAGGCTCAAGCCTGCCCGGTGCCTGTGTGGCTGGCCGGCTGCGCTCCTGTGAGAGGTGCTAACCTCGAATTCTGTCTGTGATTCCCCAGCTCCAAGAAGCCCAAGAAACGCCCGGAGGAAGTGGCCGTGAAGCCCAAACCCTCGCCCTGTCTCTCCATCTTTGATGAGGAGGTGGACCCCGACGAGGGGCTCTTTGGCCCGGGCAGGAAGCCCTCTTCCCGGAGCCCCGCAGAGGACGCGCCCCCCAGGGACTGTAAGTAGAGCCCCGGGGGTGTTCCTTTCGCTCTCGGTGTCTCCCGGGTGACCCAGCCAAGCTCTGCGAGTGGCTTTGGACCCACCACACATGAGCAGGACGGCTCATGTGTTAACACGATGCAGATGCAGTTAGTGGAGAGATTTTCTGCTGGAGAAATCTAGTCTCACACCTTGTGTCCCCATAGCCTGGAACGTTCCAGGGCTGTATGTTTATTCTAATCATCCCTCAGAAGCAAAGAGTAGTTTTCTTTGCTGCTTTGAAAAGTGTGGGTCGTGACTGGTGTAGAAGTGCCTTTGTTACCTCTGCAACCAGATGTGGGCACCTGGTGGAGAGTGGACGCTGGCCTGCCTCCGGCCTGCTGGGGCTCTGCATGGGGCTGCTGGGGCTCTAACAGCCCCCCTGCTGGGGCTCTAACAAGAGGCTCTGTGTCCCCTGCAGAGACCCCGAGGGAGGGTCCAGTGCAGAGCTGGAACAGGGAAGCTGAGCAGCCTTGGGACTTCCACACTCGTGCCTGTTCTGACCCTTCCTATCCCCGCCCGCGTTTGCATCCAGGGTAGGGAACTGATGTCACCCATTAATTCAGCCGGCACCAGGCGCCCACTGACGGCCAGGCACTGTGCTGGGGCCGAGAACACCTGGATGAGTGAATCACGGTTCTGGCCTCAGGGCCTCCCTGAGGGAGACAGGACATCTCCTGACCATTAGAGGCTAGCCTGGGCCTGTAACAGGTCTTAGCAGGACGTCCGTGCCTGTGGGGACCCCAGGGAAGGCTTCCTGGGTGAGGGTCAGGTGGAGGAACTGTACCTGAGCTGGATCCTGAAAGGTCAGCGGAGTTTGCCAGGGCTGCTGATGAAGCACATTCCAGGCGGAGAAGCTGCAGTTACCTTTCACGAAGGGCAGCGTTGAGCAGTGGAGACGGCGAGAGGGTGGGGAGTAGACCCCGGCTCCTCGAAGGCAGAGGCTGTGGTCAGAGCCGTGTCTGCTCACCACTGCATCCCAGAGCTGGCAGCCCCGGGCTGGTGGTTGGCGCTCACTGAGCGCTTGTGGGAAGACTGGGGTGCAGCCCTGGGGGCTGGCCGGGGCCATGGGGAGCCCGGGGTGTGAGCTGAAGAGGCTGTTTCCTCCTAAAAGCAGTGGGGAGGCCGCAAGGACTTGAAACCGGGAGGAGTGCCATCAGGTGGCTCTGGCCCAGCATGGAGGGAGGCGGGGGCCAGGGCCGCAGGCCCCCGTGAGCACATGTCTCTTGCCCCACGTGGCCCCGTTCCTCTGGTACGTCCGCAATCTGCCTTGCAGACCGAAGTGACAATATTGCTTCCTGTCTCCTGGCTGTGCCAGGAGGTTGGGCCAGACCCTCTCCACCCTGCACCCCGCAGGCAGCCAAGGACAGGCTAGGACTTCTTCTGACCCCTCTGCTGCTGCCTCCTCCGCAGCCCTGAAGCTGTTTGACGATCCTGACCTCGGCGGAGCCGTCCCCCTGGGTGACCCGTTACTGCTGCCAGCTGCCCACGGGGGTGGAGGACCCACGTCCCGCCCAGGCTGCAGGGAGGCCTCCGAGGAGCTGTTCAGGTACCATCTGTCCCCAGTGCTGCTCTACCAGGTCTGAGAGTGGCCCGGACAGAGCCAGGGACCCGTCCAGTCTGGGAGCACTTCACCATCCTTGGGCTCCGAGGGAAGGAATCCCGACCCATCAGAGGCAGGAGCCTGTGGGTGGGAGCTGACCAGGAGGCAGCAAATGGGGTGCGATGAAAGGGTTGGGTGGGGGGCTGTCAGCAGCTCATCAGATTCTAGAAAGACAGGACTGCATGTATACAAATAGTGTATATAAAAAATAAATTATGTAATTGCACGAGCAAGTATAACTGGCATCAACAGGTTTGGGAACAGATATACAAAACTGACTTGGTAGCACGCAGCGCACGTTGGGGGGGGGGCAAAGTGCAGACGTTCTGGGCAGTGGCAGGTACCCATCGGCAGGCCTTATGGAGGGGAGAGCGAGGCTTAGCCTGTTACGTGGAGGTTGATTGACAGAACATGTGCACACCTGACCGCCGCGAGGGGTGTGCCGTGTGTCAGGCAGTATGCTGGGCTTTTTACATGTTATCTTATTTAATCCTCACAGCAGCACTGCCTCCCACCCTCACCCTCCACGTAGGTGCTATTTTCTCCTTTTTACGGAAAATGGAGGGTGGGAGAGGTGACTGGCCCAAGGCCCCCAGCTTCCAGGTGACAGGCGGGGATTGGGACCCAGGTCAGCCTGCCTGTGTCCCGTCGTCCCACCCTTCCAGGACTCTGAGCGCTTGGAGGAGGAGAGGCTGGCAGCTCCGCCTCCCACCCCGGGGCCGGCAGGCTCTCCCTGGGCTTCTGCTCGTGCCGCTGCTTCCTCGGCACGCTCGGCACTGTGCGTCTCTGCATCGCATCATCTATGTCCCCAGGAGGCAGGCCGAGCCTGGCCGTCTACGGGACTCTGAGCTCTCTCTTTCCAGGAAGAGTTACGTGGCGCTGGACATGCGATCCCGGGAGGCTGTCACCACCCCCCCTCGTTAGCAACCGCGGGCTGTTAGCCTTCCGAGTGCCCGGCGAGCCTGAGTCACAGCGACGGCTCCCTGTCATTACATCTCCCCACGGCCCCTGGCAGCTGTTCACGCTCATCCTGCGTCCTCACCGCTGACACCCAGGCAGCAGTACTCCCTGGGAGAAGCTGGGACTGTGGTTATGTGCTTCGGGGTGATGCTGAGGCCCAGGGAAGCAGGTCAGCCCCGGGGAGCCTCTGCCGTTGCCAGGACTCAGCATGTCCTAGCGGGGCAGACCCAGCGGGACCTTTGGGCATCGTTTATACTAAATCCATTACACTGGAACTTTCCAGCCCATGTTCTGCGGAACGCCGGTTTGGGGGGTCTGAAAGGTGTTACCTTCAAACGCTTTCTGTGGCCAGATGGCCGGGTTAAGCAGGACTTTCCAAGCCTTTAGTGTGTGGGCACGCGTGGCTCAAGGGCGATGCCAACGCAGCATTTCACGTTCCGGTTGGTCCCTGGGACCCTTTCCTTTGTAAGGCCTCCTGCATCCCACAGGGCTCTCTGGCAGTCACTGCCTTAGAGAATGTGAGTCCTGTGACCCTGCCTTTGCTCTGCCAGACATCTGGTAAAGAAGGAATTACCCTCTTGAGAGCAGGAACCATATTTTTTTTTCTTTGTGTGTGTCCTGGGACTATGCAGGTGGGAACCGGGCTTCCTTATGATAAACTTTCTAATATTCATCCCTCCATCAGTGCTTTCATCACCCCTTCATTCCACCACTGGCATCTGCCATCCCATCCTGGGGCAGCATGGAGGGGCGCTGGAGCCGGGTTTGGAGGCTGAGAAACCCCCGTTCCCTCTTGCTCTGGGGCCCCAGTTGTGGTCTTTAGTCCAGTTCTGCAGAGACCTGGGGAGGAGGAGTGGCCTCGGTGGTCGGCCTCACACCTTCAGGGCCTGGAAAGGAGGGGAGCTGGACCTTGTGTCAGTGTGACCTGTTTTTACCCGTGACTCGGGGAGCCCAGTTGGAAATAGGGTGCTTGGCAAGAGATGCTGTGTGGCCACCTGTATCCCGGGTGTGACTGCCCCACCTTCTGCCTCAGAGCAAATCCAGCTCCTGATTCGCTCCAAAGAGTCATTGCTTTGCCAAGCAGTATAAATCCTGAACTCCGACACAAGCTTTTAGCTGCTGCTTTATTTCCCTAAGGGCCCCTGTTTGAGGATAATTCAGTCCCCCAGAGCTTCTCCTGGGTACCCAGCCTCCAGTGGAGGATGCAGGACAAGCCAGCACCTGCCCCAGGGGGGCTCAAGGAAGGGCAGCGCTTGGAGGGAGCGGGGACACAGCTGAGCTGAACTTGCCAGGAGGAGCCTGTCCCGGGGTGATGCCTCCTGGGATTGCCTGGAACTCACTCTTTCAAGGCCTGGCTTGGGCCAGTCCCTCTGGGTCTGGAGGGACACCTTTTGCTCACTTCTCTGCCATCCGTGGGAGGCTCTGAATTCTCCCCTTGGGGCCTATGCCGCATCACAGGAGGCTGACCGAGGAAGCAGGCAGGGTGACCCACTGCCCCTTCAGTAGCTGCTTCCTGGCAGGCAGCCCTTCCCGGGAAGGGCACCTCCACCCTCATGTAGACCTCTGCCAGGCCCTGTGGTGCTGGGAGTTGTTCTGGCCAGAGGTGCCTCCCCTCTGCTCCTGCCTTCACTCAGCCGTGCTGCTGTCTGAGCTGGAGCCCGTTCACAGTTAGGGAGACGGAGGACCAGGCAGGTGGGGTGGGCTGAGGCCACTGAAGGAGTAGCAGGGTGAGGGAGGGAACCACACTCCGCCTGCCGCGCTGCGTGTCTCTGTACAAGGGGTTGTAACCCTGTGGGGTGATGCCGCTGTTGCCGTTTGGCAGATGGGAAACCAAAGCTTGGAGAGGCCAAGTGGCCTGCGCGAGGCCCCCTGGTCTTCTGCCTGCAGCGCCTCTGCCCTCCTTCCCCTGTCCCCAGCTAGCTGTGGGCCCCAGGCCAGGCCCTTCATCTTTCTGTGCCCCAGTTTTCACATCTGTAAAATGGAGCTAACATCTGCTACCAGACAGTGTCTTGTGATTACTCAGTGAATTAACGGATGCGGAGAAGGCCGGCCGTGGTAGGTACCCAGCCCAACGTTGATTGGGTGGGCAGGTCGGGGGATGGCTTGAATGGGTCTTTTCGCTGTGCATCTGGTCTGCAGGAGTTGAGTCCTTGCACAAGGAGCTGGCAGCAAGAGCTCCCTCGGGCAGAGGGCAGAGCGGGGCTGCCTTTCTTTCCTGCTGTCCAGGACTTGGGCTGGTCCTGAGTGACCGTCACACTGCTTCGGCCTTCAGTTCCACCAACAGGCTGTCAGGTCCGGGGCGTGGCGGAGTCTTGGTGGGTGATGGCCGAGGCCGGCTTCAGCCCTCGGGGGGCCGTGTCTAACGAACGCCCGGGTGGCCCACCAGGGGACGCTGTGGGCCGGCAGACCCCACCCCACGATGGCTTAGAGCCCCTCATTCATTCTTTCTCTGGCTGAACTTGGCCTGGATGAGAGCCCAGCATCTCAAGTCAGACTTACTGGTTCCAGCTCAGGCCGGCCACATGCTTTCACCTCAGGCAGGTGGCTCGGCCTCCTAGGACTTGAGCGTCCGCATCTGCAGGGAGAAGACTGCGCTGTACCTCCCCAAGAGTTGTTGAGGATAGCAAAAGATCATGGGTCTGAAGTGCGTGGCCCAGAGCAGGAGCTCCGTATGTGGCAGCTGTTACTGTTATTTCTTGAAGGGTTGAAGGAGAAGTCACCTAATGGAGCCAGCTTGTCTGGAGTGGGGTCACCCGAAAAGCAGTCCTGCAGAGGCTGCCAAGGGGCCGGCTCTGCTCGCGCTGGGCTGCGGGGGTGCAGGGAAGGAGAGCCCTGCCCCTCAGTTCCTCCCCGGGGGTGGATGGGTGGAAGGGCGAGGATGGGAGGCGGGGGGACCGAGCCCAGTGCCCTGCAGGGGTGCCTGCCTTGGCGGGGGGCACCTTGTCCCTTTTGCAGGAGATTGTGCTCAGGGCTTCTCCCTCTGGTTCTCTAGAGTCGAAGAGGACTTGGACCAGATTCTGAACCTGGGGGCTGAGTCCAAACCCCAGCTTCAGCCCCAGCCCCAGCCCAAGCCTCCAGTGGCAGCTAAGCCAGCGCTACTCAGAAAGCCAGCTGTTCCCCCCAGGGTGGGTTCATCTGAGGCTGTGGCCAGGCAGCAGAAGCAGCAGCAGCAGATCCAAGCCATGGACGAGACGGACATCTTACAGTACATCCGGGACCACGACGCGCCTGGCCAGGCTGCCCCCAGCCTCTTCTGACCGCCCCCAAGCCCTGTGCTCTTCCTGCGCCAGCAGACTCTCTCCTGTGGAGGGGCACGTAGTGAGGTGCAGACTTGGACCTGTAGGGCCAGAACCTCTATTCCCAAGGGAGGGAGGGTGGAAGCCGGGTCATAGGACCCGTGTACTGCCTTCTTCCTTTTCCTCAGGCCTGTGGGTTCATGGAATCCTGCAAGATGCAGAGAGCAAGGTCACTATAGGAAGTGGAGCCTAAGTTGTCTCAGCCATGTGGATGTGGAGGGGAGAGCCTGTGGGGATGCCTTGCTAACCAGGAGCCCAGTCCCCAGGATGTCATGAGACTGGAAGCGCGGGGGGCCAGGGAGGCTCCACTCGGGGCGGGAAACTTTGTGCCCACTTGTGCCCACCGTCTCTGCCAGCCCCAGCACGTGCCCACCGGCTCTGCCAGCCCCAGCACGGGAGGGAGGGCGGGCTTGGCCAACCTGGGGTTTGGGTGGGAATCTCTAGTCACCATGACTCCTGGAGGCTTGCAGGCCCTGGCAGGGTCCCCAGTAGAGGGATGCTGAGTGGGTGCCTGGCTAGGTGGGGTGGCCCAGCCACCTCCGGTTACCAGGTGCTAAGCACGGTGCCTTCCCAAGTGTCGGAGCTCAAGGGAGACGTCAGGCCCAGCCCTGCCTCTGGTGTGTAGACGGCCTGACAATCCCCATGTCTTCCTCCCTCTTCCTTTCCTAGGGAAGGCCTGGCCAGACCACGGCCTCCTTGGGCCTCTGGCCATAGGGCCGATGTCCACCGTTACAGCTTTTCCTTCAGGGACGCTGTGGCTGAGGTGCCCCTCCTTCTCACGGCCTGGGCTGGATGCTCTTCGGCCGCTACTTGAAGGGCCCCGTCTGTCCAGCGGTGGGTGCTGCCAGGCCTTCCCTGTCCTCGGGGTCTGGATTTGCTCACTGGCCTTCCCCCAGTGGGAGCCTCCTTCCCGGGAGAAGGAGCCCTGTGCCGGGCAGGGCCAGTGCCTTAGACTTCTCCCCGACCCCCTTGCCCCGGCATACGGGTCTGAGCATGGTGCATGTTTAATGCAGCAAAGAATGCCTCTTTTGTTGTTGTTGTTTTTGATACAGTCTTCATGTTCAGAATTAGTTTTTAAGGAAACACAGATTTTTAAGAAAAGGCAGCCGCTGTTGTCCCTTGGGTTGTGCTGCTCGACAGAGAGGATTGGAAGGAGGATTTGGGATGAGGACCCCAGGCCGTTCCCCATCGGGGCCAGGAGCCAACCCTGATCCCTCAGGGATTCTGCCGGAGCCAGGCCGGTGTTTGCTGCCCTCAGAGTCTCTAGCACCCGCTGCCCCGTGCCAGGACCTGCAGGGCGGGTGGGAGCGCTCAGTCCGGTTTGTCCCGCGTCTCACGTCCCCCTTCCCCTCCACTGGTGCCAGCGTGAGAGGAAATAGGCGGCTCCGGGACTGAGAGCCTAGTTCCTCCTCCCCCTCTGCCTTATCTGGGCCCCGAGGGCAGCCTCCCTGGGGCCCGGAGCTGGCTCCAGGATAGCCTCAGCCCCCAGCACGAGCCGCCCCTCTTCTCTTTCGCCGCCAGGCCTTCACACCCGCACGCCACGCTGGGGTCCGCGCTCTTGCCGACTGCAGGAAGGCCTCCGAAGGAAGGAGCAGGTGGTGAGGCGATGGGCTGCCGTGGCCTCTCTCTCCTCCCTGTTCTCTCCTCTGGGCCGCGCCCTCCCGCCCCCAGCATGCGACATAGGGGAGAGGGTGCAGCTGGCAGGTGCCCGTGGGGGGCCACAGGCGGAAGCTGCCACTCCGGTGTGGCTTCGCCCACTGCTAACCCGGCCTCCTCCCTGGCGGCCTGGCACTCGGACACCTCAGCAGAGATACTGATGCTCCGCAGCGCCGCAGGTCTGTGACCCACCAGACGATCTGTGACCTCCAGTCGTCCAATAAAGTCCGTGTCGGTGCTCATTCCCGCATTTGTTAGTGGCGACCTTTTCTGACCCCGGGCTGATGGGGGACAGTGTGGGGCACTGTCTTTACAGCCCCGGGCTGATGGGGCTCAACAAGGGGCGCTTCCCTCGAAGGACCTGGGGTATGCCAGGCCTCCCAGGCTGCTTCTGGATGGGGCAGGGCGAGGGCAGAGGGAGGATTCCACTGTGTGAACTGAGGCAGAGGGGCCAGAGGCCCCGGCCTGGTGGGGTCATCCGTCAGTAACTGCTCAGCCAGGACCTGTTTGGAAAGAGGACTTTTTCCTTCTCCAGACCTCACTTCTGTCTCCTCAGGGTAGGGACTGGTCTAGGGTTGAACTGGCCTCGAGGTCCTCGAGCTTTGACACAAGACAGCCCCACTGAATAAACCCGTCCATCCGCTTCCAAACCTGTCCTAGCCTCCACTCTCCTGCCAGGGTCAGATTCTGAGATGCTGCTTCCTGCCCGGGACCCAGAGGTTCTTAGCAGACGGCTCTGCAAGCCGACATCCCCCAGAGCACTAGAAACGGGTCCCCGGGAGCCCCGTGCAGGGCAGTCTGCGAGCCCACGCCGGCCTCCCTCACCACTCGGCTTTGGAGCTCGCAGCTAAGCTCAGATGGGGGTCTTGGCTCCCAAGGACAAGCAGTTGGGTCGTTCTGAGAAGGACCACGCAGCCCACAAGCTTGCAGCGGAGAGTTCACCGTGGAAGGAAAGTGAGGTTCACTGAGGGCAGCGTTTGTTTGTTTTGCAGCTGTGTGAGCCCCGTGGACAGGATGTGCCGGCTGCTCTGGGGGCCCCGCTCCCATCCCCCATTTTTCCTCTCAGGAAGCCGGGAACTCCAGCCACTTCTCCTGGAAAGTCCCCATCCTAGTGTCTGTCCCGGCCGGGCCGGGAGGCGAGCTCCGCTGGGGGAACCCACCCTTCCACACTCTGGTGTCCCGTGACCGTATCAGTGCCACAAGTCCGGAACCCAGCCTGCCTCTGTGTGCTCTGGGGCTGCCCCGAGGCTCAAGCCCTCACAGCAGACGCAGATGAGGCAGCAGAGGTCCAGGTGATTGGGGGGCCCTGTGGGCCTCATGCCCAGCTGCCAGCTTGGTGTCGTCGATACAGTCCGTGTGGTGGTAGGCTTTCCTTTGTCTCTGGGGAGACCCGGCGTGGAAGGTCACGTTCGGCTCTCCATCTCACCAGCCGCCCAGGTGAGCATAGCCTGCGGACGGGAGAAGGGAGAAGAGCTACCAACACGGCGCTTGGATGGTGGGCCTGGCTGGGCAGCAGGCACCCCCAGTGCTGCCGGGCCTTTGGGTTGAAGGCCACCCAGAGCAGGTGTGGTCGACACTCAGAGCCCCTTTGAGTGGATGACCTTTCAGTGTCAAGTTGTGGATGGTACCATTCAGTGCAAACCCTCATCACTTAAACAGTTCCCTGAGGCCTCACGGGTGGGGGTAGCCGACCAAAGGACCAGGCTCCGTGGGCCTGGAGGGATCTAGGTTCCGGTCCAGCTGGGCTATCCGACGTCCCCTCACCCTGCAGTGCCGAGTGAAGAGACTTCCCTGGGTTCATGTGAAGGGCCAGGTAGGCTGTAACGTCCTGTTCGTGCCTGAAGGACTTTCCTTGGGCTGGTCACTACAGTTCATCCCAGAGGGACCCCTGCCCAGGACAAGCTGCACAATAGTGAGATGGGGCAGGCTGAGGATGGCTGGTCAGAAGGCACTGCCGGCTTCCGCCCAGCCTCGCCCACAGCCCCGGGCACTGACATTGACTTCCAGGTGTTGTGCTACGTACGACATGGTGAAGGGGACCCAGGTGTGCAGCATGGTGTGTACAGCCTGGAGCACAGATGCGCATCCCTCTCGTGGCTGAACCTCTGGTTCTGGTTTAACACGGCGCTGGCCGCTGGTGAGAGCTGAGGGATTTCATTTCTCAGGTCACACTCAGGATGAAGCCGCACTCCTGGAGCGGGGATCATGGGCTCGGCGCATGGCCTCAGTAAGCAGGAATCCCTGTTGACAACTTCCAGAGGTGCCGATGCTTCTCTGCTAATTTGGCAAATAGCGGCAGCCTCTAAATTCCTTTTTGAGTTAAGCTGGGGTAGCTTTCTCCAGCCCAGGCAGCCAATCCCGTCTGTTTCCTCACATGCCGAACGCATCCGCAAACACTAAGCATTTAATGGCACCTACCGTGTGCAGGCGCCGTGACGTGTGGAACACGGGGAGTCAGGTGGGTGATGCGTAGTGAAAGATGCAGGTCAGCCCTTCTGGTCTAGAAGCTCCCCATCGTGCTTGGGCATCAATCAGTTTGATGAGTAAGTGCATACAAGGAACAAGAAAAGTGCATGAACAATACAGGGCAGAGCAGCGGGTGGCAAGGACTGTGTAGGCGGCACAGCTCTGGTGCTCAAGAGACACAGAGCAAGAGAGACCAGGCCAGCCTGGCTGATGAATGTTTCCTGAGCACCTCTGGGTGCAGTACCTGTTCTAGGCACGATGGAGGACACAAAGACGATAACACGTGAGTCATCAAAGCCGGGTCTACCGTGAGCCACGCTGAACTGTAGGTTCTGTTCTGTTCTTTGGGCCTCCTGCCCAAGCAGCAGACACAACTAGGAAAAGCACCTCCTCCCACGCAGCCCTCTCTGCCCCTCCCCCTCTGCCCCCCCCCCCCCCAGCAATACAGTGTTACATGCAATGTGCCCCCGGCTCTTAGTCACTGTCTTAATTTCCTAAGGCAGCTGTAGCAAGTACCACAAACTGGGTGGCTTTGAACAGCAGGAATTTATTCCCATTTCCGGAGGCCAGAAGTCTAAAATCAAGTTGTTGGCGGGGCCGCGTTCGCTCTGAAGGCTCTGGGGAGAATCCTCACTTGCTTCTTCCAGCTTCTGGTGCTTGCTGGCAATCCTGAGAGTTCCTTGGCTTGTAGCTGCTTCACTGCAGCCTCTGCCTCTGTCTTCACACAGTCATCTCCTCTGTGTCTTTTCTGTGCCTGTGTCCAAATTTCCCTGTTCTTGGAAGTAAACCAGTCATTAGATTAGGACCACCCGAATCCAGTATTACCTCATTTTCCCTTAATTACATCTGCAAAGACCCTATTTCCAAATAAGGTCCCATTCACAGGTTCCATGTGGACAAGAATTTTGGGGGACACTGTTCCACCCAGTTCAGTGCCTCAGGGTCTGAGGCTGAGCTACTTGAGTGCAGAAGTGATGACTTTCATATCTCCTGTATCAGCTTCCGGGCTTTTTGGGTGCCATGTGGTACCATGTGGTCTTGGGGCCTTGTTATCATACAAAATTGGGGAAAATCACCCCACCGCTAACAACAGTCCCGGGACTTTGTACATTGCTTGTGTCCAGTGGCGGGAGCAGGACACACCACTGGTGGAGCCCCAGGGCCTGACACCTCTGGGCCATTATACACCCTTCCCCAGGGCAATGGTAGGCTCCAAATAGGTCTGATTACCCGTGTTCTGAGTGGATGCGATTCACGAGTAAGCTGAGGCAGGCAGCGTCC